GAGCTAGGTTTACTTAAAGTAGTTGAATTTGTAAAAGCATCCGAAACTACAAAGGAACAAGTGAGATTAATACAAGAGAAATCTGTAGAAGTACATGGATTAAGAAGAGGTAATAATAAATCTAATTTTAACACAGCTAATGATGAGGGCAGGAAAATTAATAATCATTTTAGCCTTAAATATGGGAATCACAGTGGTGTGAATAGCACTAATAATGCAGTAGACTATCAGTGTCGGAAGTGTGGAAATAAACACAGAGCCAATAATTGTCCAGCATATGGAAAGTATTGCAATTTATGCAATAAGCCAAATCATTTTGCAGTTGCATGTTTTAAAAACAAGAAAAATATAAGTTTAGTAAAACAAAATAAGTATGAAAGTGAACAGGATTATGCAGATTCCCTTATAGACTCTTGTGAATTAGTTGAGAGCTCAAGAAAAATATGTAAAATTAATCTTTTACAGTGGTCACAAAAATTAATTATTAATAACAAGGAATTGGAGTTCAAGCTTGATACAGGAGCTGAGATTAATGTAATGCCAATAAGCTGTCTGTTCAAATTGGGAGTAAATGCTGACAATATATGTAATAATAGACAAATAATTTTGGAGGTATTTGGAGGTAATCGGTTAAAATCTTCAGGAGTTATTAAATTGAAGTGTAGTGCCAATAATGCTAGGAATTGCCAACTTAGTTTTGTGGTAGTGGATGATGCAAATAATAATAAAATTAAACCCTTACTGGGTTTGGACGGCTGTGTTAAATTAAATTTAATTAAAAGAATAAATGATCTTACAGTAGATAATCAAAAGAAAATGGAAATTTTGAAGAGAAATGAAGACATATTTAATGGAACTGGACTGATTAAAAATTATGAGTGTCACATTAAAGTGGATAAATCTGTAGAACCAGTCATCAGACCTCCTAGAAGAGTACCTTTAGCTATTAGGGACAGGTTAAAAGAAAAATTGAACCTTTTGGAGAGAGGAAAAATTATTGAAAAAGTGGATGGTCCCGTGACATGGCTCAGTAATCTTGTAGTAATTGAAAAATCGGATGGAGGTCTTCGAGTATGTTTGGACCCAACTGATCTAAACAAAGCCATCATTAAAACACCTGCGTTAATACCTACCTTGCAAGAAGTAACTTCTCAGTTAACAGGTAAATTTTGGTTTTCTTTACTTGATCTTAAGGAGGGTTTCTATAATATTAAACTGGACAAAGAATCATCTAACTACTGTGCCTTTTCAACACCTTTTGGGTGCTATAAGTTCCTCAGACTCCCATTTGGCCTATCCAACGCCCCTGAGGAGTTCCAAAGAGTAAACACTTCCATATTTTCAGATATTCCTGGACTTATAATATATTTTGATGACATTTTAATTGCAACTGAGACAGAAAAAGAACATGATGAAGTGCTAAATAAAGTATTAGAAAGGGCTAGGTCAAGTAATTTAAAATTTAATCCTAGTAAATTTCAATATAAAACTAATAAAGTTACATTTTTGGGATTTGAGTTTGATAAAAATGGGATGAAAATTGACCCTCAGAGAATAAAAGCTATTAAAAGTTTAGAGAACCCTTGTAATAAGAAGGAATTACAAAGAATTTTGGGCATGCTTAATTACATAAGAAATTTTATTCCAAATTTTGCTGACTTAACTTCTAATTTGCGTACCCTTTTGAAATGTAATGTAGAATTTATTTGGACAGAAGCTCATTCAATGCTTCTGAAAAATATAAAAGGGTTAATTACAAAAATTCCAGTATTAACACATTTTGATACATCTAAGGAAATTACTATTGAATGTGATGCATCTAAGGACGCTATTGGTTGCTGTTTAATGCAGGAGGGACAACCTATATCCTATGCGTCAAGGTCGTTGTCACCAACAGAAAAGAATTTTGCACAAATTGAAAAGGAGTTATTAAGTCTTCTTTTTGCAACATCTAAGTTTCATTTATACATCTATGGGCGTAAAACTTTTGTCAGAACAGACCACAAACCTCTTGTGTCTCTAATTAAAAAGAATGTTGGAGAAATACCATCACCAAGATTGCAGCGGATGATTCTTAAATTAATTAAATATGACTTAGAATTGAGATATGTGCCTGGCAAGGAATTATATATTGCTGATTTATTGTCAAGAGGTTGTGAAAATGAAGAGAACATCAGTTCTGAAGAAGATTGGATTAGTGAGATAGTTCATGAAGTAGCATCTAATAATTATCAATTGCAGGTCACACCTAGAAGAAAAAAGATTCTCGAAGAAGAAACTGCCAAGGATAAGACATTACAACGCCTAGTGCAGTACTATATGAAGGGTTGGCCTGCCAATAGTAAAGATGTGCCTGAAGAAATAAAAATATATTACAAATTTAAAGATGAAATTTATGTTAGTGGAAACTTAGTATTTGTTGGCCGAAAGCTGTTGGTGCCTATTTCCTTGAGAAAAGAAATGTTAGAGAAGCTTCATAGTCCGCATTTAGGAGTCAGCAAAACACAAGCAAGGGCAAGACAAATATTTTACTGGCCGCAAATAAACTCAGACATTGAAGAATATGTATTAAAATGTAAAATATGTGAAACTTTTAGGAATAAAAATATAAAGGAACCTTTATTGCCTTACCCAGTTCCATCAAGACCTTATCAACGGGTTGGTATAGATTTCTTCCAACTAGGAAACTATTCTTACCTAATAATTGTGGATTATTTATCAGCTTGGTTTGATGTTGTAAAGATGCCATATAAGACAGCATCAGAAACAATCAAGAGTATTAAACCAATATTTGCCACACATGGTATACCTAATGAAATTGTGGCTGATAATATGCCTTTCTCATCCTTTGAGTTCAAGAAATTTTGTCAAGGATGGGAAATAAAATTAACTAACACCAGCCCACATTATCCACAATCAAATGGAATGGTGGAGAAAGCAGTTGGTATTTGCAAGAGCCTGATGAGAAAATGTTACAAATCTGGACAAGATTTCAATTTAGGATTAATGGAGTATAGAAACTGTCCAGTTACAGGATTGTCAGAGAGCCCAGCCCAACTAATGATGAGCAGACAGCTAAGAACAGTCCTCCCAACTATTGACGAAAATCTGATGCCAAATGTTGTTAGGGTGAAGGAGGATAAAGAGCTTAAACAGAAAAAGTCTAAGTTATACTATGATAAAACTTCACAGCAGAGAAGAGGTTTCAATGAGGGTGAAAGTGTGGTCCATAAAAGAGGAAGGAGATGGGAGCCAGCCCAGATTATTAAATCTAACAATACGCCTAGATCCTACATAATAAGAACTGAGGATGGTCAAACATTAGTTAGAAATTCAGTTCATCTACGGAAATCGGGAAATCCTTTTGCTATTAATGGAGATCAAAATAGTTATCCCACTTTAGAAAACAACACTACTGAAAGTAATGAATCGAATACTGAGACTCAACTGGCTCCAGCTCGACTTCCACAAGAGAGTTCTGAGATCACCTCTGAAACTTATAACCCAGCTCTACCTCAAGCTATGTCTAGATACGGAAGAAGAATTATTAAACCTAGGAGATTAGTGGAAGAATGATTTTTAATAGTTAAACTAGTATTTAGGAGTTTTTTTTAATTGTATGTATGTCTATTTAAAGAATTTATTTAGTTTTTTTTATAATTGTTAATCTTGAACTAAAGTAAAAGGAGGGAGATGTGGTAACACTGTTAGAGGTCTATGATAAAAGATGGAGGTTCTATGGAAGATAAAAAATTATAAAATTGTTTTGTATTGCTCACATCTTAAGAATTATAATAAAAGTGATTTAAGAGACTAGACTTATAATTTATTAACCAATAAATACAACACTAATAATATGATATTCCAACCATTTAAGTATACTTTATCTTAATAATATTATGTCAATTGTCAATAAATTAAAACTTGGAGGACGCGGGAGGTCGGTACCTATAGCTAGGACACGCACGAAGTGATTTGCGAGTATTTATAGATATCATTTGATCAACAAGAGATTTATATATAGCTTGTCTCTTTTTACGAATCTATAATACAAGTAATTGTTCAAAAAATATTTGTTTTATAGATTTTAAAATGGCAGACTTTTTAAGTTTTTCCATTAGGTACGCAGTATACAGTGGATATTTTCTTTTATAATTTTAATAAGTATCTACTTTTTTGTACAATTTAAATACAAGTTCAGTTAGATTCATACATACCTAAACATTTAGAAAAAAATAACTTCCAAAAGATAATAATAACAACTTTATAATGCGGTATCTATTTCTAATGTGGATTGTCACATGGAAATTTTTAGTACGCAATTAGGAAGCACGCCCTTTTCAGATTTTATGACTTTCCCGATTCCCCATCCCCTGTTTTATCTGCGAGTCCCTGTAGGAACAATCGTAATCTCGTAGTTCTTTATAATATTTATTACAATACATTTATTAATCTAGATGACCAATACCATGTTAAATAATAACGTAATTAGTTTTGTCGTTTCATTAACAAAACAATGGCCATGTTAAAATGTTCACCTTAAAATATTTAATTTTTACTTTTTTGTTCTAATGAAAATTTCTTTTCTATACATTATTTTGTTGTATAAATACAAGTTCATAATAAAATAACAATATGAACATCTAAGTAGTCGTGTACGGTACGGTATTTATGTATTATACAATATAGTATAATAGGTATATATTGGAAGCAAATTGCTATTACCCGACCATACCAAAGAGACGTAGATGATTGTGTATCTGTATTGGGGCTGGGTACCTCTAGAATGGGCAACGTTTCGTAACTCTTCGTGCGAACCCCGACGACGAAATCATTCCATCCAGCCGTCGAAGCCGTGTTCTCGGGGGTTTGGGATTGTGATTTTGTATAAATCTATATAGTTTTTGTGCCAACAATTAAACAAAACGAAGGTACGCTTAGTGCAGTATAACTCCTTGATTAAATGTGGTCGAAATCGTCTCCAATCGTATTTAGCATTTATGGCATCGCTTTCTCAGGCGTATCCGCTGTCTCGCTCTAATAAACGGAACGTCAGTATGAAACTAAATTTACTGTCTCATTCTGTCTAGTAATATAACACCGTTGTGCTCGTTCGTGTCACGTAAGAATTTTTTGTATTTTCTCTTGCAAAATTGTGATATTTGTGAATTTTTCATGATAATAGAATATTTTATATATCTACGAATGTTTTGTAATAATAATATTTGGGTATTTTGCACGAATTATCCTCTAATAGGTCGTGTTTTAACTTTCACTCTAGGTATAGATAGGTACTGTAGATAAATATATAACGTAGATAGATATATACGAGTCCGTAGATATTCAACATCGAGTCTCAAGGCCGAAATACACAAGTATCTACATGGTACCTGCTGTGGAAAGATTAATTTTGTGCTTTTAGTAGAAATGTAGGATTATTAAAACCAAATTAAAGTATTATCAATGTGAAGTGAAAATCTGTGTTCGTGTGTACTGTTAAATGGCGAGTTGAATGTTGCAAATCGCGGTACACCAATTTGATTTGCTATGAGCATACGCTTATCGAGCCTAACCGCGACGCAATATCATGTTCATGTTATAATAACAAACCTTTGCGCGTCGGGTCATTTAGTTGAAAATTATACCAGTTCTTCAATAGTCCTTGGACTAACCTCAAAATATATATGTTCGTGTCACTATCGATCAATGTATGTTGTTGCCAATCAAGATGTTTGATATTTTGATGATGTGTTATAAAAATATTTTTAATTCTGGTACAGAAAAAGTGAAACGTTCGAGCTAACTGCTAAGCTGCTCTAAAGGATCTGCCGAGCCCGCATTATCTGTGATATACAGCTCAGCCTCTCGTCCGTCCTATAAGGTATGTATTTTATTATCACACATATTAGCTTCTAACTGGAAATAATAATAATTAAAGCAGTGTTCGTTTTTAATGTTATTTTGTCGTCATTCTATTAATAGGAACAAATAGATATAAAATGAATACATTAGCACAAAATTAGCATTGTTAAACGGACCGCTTTTATACGCCGATTTGTTATAGGGCTGGGCCATTTGGGGCTAGAGGCGAGTCCGCAGCAGCTTCCAGCGGTGATCTCACCCTGCCCTCTGCCATAGAGGCACAAACACTGCTACCTGCTTTATTGACTGCATCACTACGAACCATTGTTACTTAGTCTATAATTGAAACAATATGCAATCTGTGAAAATAAGTATAATTCTAGGTGGATATTGTAGAAAATTATTCTATTTATAATAATTGTCTGATGTCTAATGTTTCTGTAATATTATGTGTTCCACGTTTAATTAAGGATAATTGTTACTCCAATATTGATACTGTTACCGAACCAATGCAATGTAATTATTCCACCTCAATGTTGGTGGTAAACACAAATAAATTTGGTGCTTATAAGCGAGTCGAAGAGAAGAATGAAAGTCAGCGAGTTAGTGTTAAAATGGTAGATAATAATATTTATAATGTAGAGTTTGTTGATAGTATCCAACAAAACCAAATGATTGGCGATACGCCTAACTACTGCATTCCTTTAAAGATTAACGCCATAACAGTCCAGGGTATCTCATACAGTGACCCGTATTTCAGTAGCTTTAACTTAAACTATAAGATGGCGTTTGGAGCGCCAGAGTATATGAACAAGTCTGATTACGCTTTTAAATCCTCAGTTTGTATTATACGAGATGAGCCTTGCACGGATAAGACGCGACTAAATGAAAAGTCTGCTCATAAAATGATATGCAAAACGAAAACTCGAATGATTACTTATAACGACAAACCTTTAGAAACCAACCATGACAATAAAGTATTGAAAGTTGGTAACGAAACAACTCTGCCAGTATCGAAGACATTCGCAAATGGCGATTTAACGTTCGACGCTATGTTGGAATTACTGCGAAACGAGAGAGAAATAATTATGGATGTGGCAAAAACTGAAGATGTAGACTCTTGGGGTGTCCCACGTCGGCTTAGACTGCAAGGTGGAGGAGAGAGCTCTTTGAATGCTGCAAGTGGATGGGGCAGTCCACCTACATCAAACAATGGTAACTATTAACGCATAATAATATTAAATCTTAGCCATTTTGAGTCATTCTGAAATTTCATAAAGTTCAATCAAGTAGTTACCAAAATTAATGTGCGAGTATTTATTAGTCTCAATACTGATTCTGTCTATTTTTCCATTAGCTGGAAATTGGGGTGGTAATTCCAGTGGCCAAACCAATAATGGGACTAATAATACTCAACAATGGAACAACACTCAACGACCACCCACTTCACAAGCTGATAGTGAGTTGCTAGGTTTATTTGCATAACTTACTAATGATAATTGCTTCTCATTGTGCTAATCGTGATTTCTGTTACTTTGTGATAATATGCATTTATTGTTGTATTTTTTTGCACTACAGTGAACAGTAACAAGGGTAATGGCAATCAAATACCACCAACCAGTGCAGCTTCACAAAATTGGCAAACATCCCCACCAAATATGCCAAACGCACAAACTAACAATAATGGTGCACCACAAAGTAATGGTAAGGTTTTTTTGATTGTTTTTATGTTTCCTAACTAGGCCACTTTGTCAAATGTCAGTTATATTTGTATAAAGTTAATTATATTGCTGATTCACTTTAGCTTCATTTAGATTACTTAATAAAGACTAGTAAAAATTGTAATTCTAACATTAAACTCATTTCATTTATTTAAAGTAAATATTAGAACAATTCTAAATTGTGATGAACGTTTCTAGGCACGAACAATACCGCCAATGGTAATAACGGTGGCAATAATCCTTCTAATCCCACTGCAAACTCTAATGGTGTATCCTCTGGCAACGGGACTAATGGCAATAATACCAACAATACCTCATCAGCTAAAATAGAGCAGTTGAACTCTATGAGAGAGGCTTTATTCAGTCAGGACGGATGGGGCGGAGTAAGTATTTTACAAATATAATTTGAAACTAAAAATAATATAAGATATTTTGACCTACATCGGTATGAGTAATAAATCTGTTGTAAACTTAATAAATTCTTCTATTTTAATTACACTATTAAGTCTTCTTTGCTCATATTTCTGCATAATATCTTTGTTTATTTTAGTAATTGCTTTAAAGACTTTGCAATTTATGAATGCACTGAATTATGCAGCAACTTGGCAAGGCTTCCAAGAGAAGGAATTTGTGAATTTTGCTGATATTGTGATATTTATTTTTAGCAACATGTCAACCAAGATACTAATTGGGATGTACCTGGGTCTCCTGAGCCTGGTTCTAAAGTGGAACCATCCGCAGGGGGTCAACCCGCCTGGAAGCCGAATATCAATAATGGCGCCTTCCTGGGAACTGATCTCTGGGAAGCAAATCTGAGGAATGGAGGCCAGCCTCCACCGCAGCCTGCAACTAAGACACCATGGGGCCACACTCCTACTACTAATATAGGTGGAACCTGGGGTGAAGATGATGATGCTGCTGACTCAGCTAATGTATGGACTGGAGCCCCGCCTCCGCAGCAATGGCCTGCTGGACCTCCCCAGCATACTCAACAATGGGGAGGTGTACCAAAGAAAGATGACTGGAATGCCTGGGGAGAGCCACACAGGCCTGCTGACCCCAGACTTGACCCACACCGTACTCCCGATCCAAGGCAACAACCCAACGACCCGCGTCACGATCTTCGTGGGGGAATATCTGGTCGTCTTAATGGAGATATGTGGAGTCAGCACCACCAACATCCTGGTGGCCCTAATAAGATGATGCCTACTGGAGCTGTCAACCAATGGGGTGCTCAGGTATGTGTATATTGTAAAATATTATCATTATTATTGCATTAAATTTACAATATATATATAAATAAAAAAAAACTACTTAATATTCATTATCATTCTATATTTTGTGTAGGGTCCAAAAGAGACAATTAAAGCTGCAGGTTGGGAGGAGCCCTCTCCACCTGCGGCGCGTCGGGCCGGCACTGGCTTCGACGATGGCACCTCGCTATGGGCACAGAGGGGTGGTATGGGTGGCATGGCCCGCCCTCAAGGCCCTCCCGCTCCACAACGCATAGCACCTGCGCCTACTAAGCCAGACGCGGTATGGGGAGCTCACTCACAAAGGAATGGGTCGTGGGAGGAACCCCACGCGGGTTGGGGAGAGCGTGACGTCAGCGGGTGGCCTGATGTCACCGGCCCCACGCTGTGGCCCGTGCCCAAGAAAGCCCCGACTGCTGCATGGCCTGATGATATCGGAGAGTGGGGTGGCCCTAAACCACCGCAAAGTGGATCCATAGGCAAGCAGCTGCCTAAGGAAATGGTGTGGAACAGTAAACAATTTAGGTTTGTATTTTTCTAATTGTATGTAAACCTCAGAGATTTTGCTTTAATTAAAAGTTGATATGATTTTTTTACCTTTTTTTTTAACTTCAAACTGGATGTCATCCACTATGTGAAATAATTTCCATACTAAAAGTTTTTGTACCATTAAGTACCTAATAAAAGTAGCTTATCTTTATTTTAGTTTCATATCATTTTCTTAAGATTGTCTACTGACAAACTGAAAAGATTAGATTAGTCACTACCTTAACCTATACTACCTTTTCTAAATATACATTTCTCCATCAGATATCTCGTCGACATGGGCTTTAAGAAGGAAGAAGCAGAAGCGGCTCTTCGCAGTCGGGATATGAATGCTGAAGAGGCTTTAGAAATGTTAACGGCTACTCGTGGAGACGGGTGGCGTCGTGACGAGCACTTCCATCATGGCCCCTTCCAGCCACAGCCTACGGTGCCTGTGTCCCCTGCTGTGGTTCAGAAACTCCTAAACCAACCACCTCCTCCGTCTGTACAGCATCATCCTTCATATAATCCTAATAGGTATGTATGGAAACATTTTTTTTTATATGGTTTGCTTATGAAAAATGCTTTTTAATTATCATGTCAGGCAATGTATGGTATGGGAAGTGTAGCTTTTAAATTGAATAATTATGTGATAGTATCAGTGTTTATTGTTGTTTTTATAAAATAGTAAACACACTTCGTACATACAGCTTTAAGACTTATTAGGAGTTGAGTTGTAAGACTAACTGCAATACTTATTAGGTTTCAGCAAAGTTAAGAATAGATTTTTCTAATAGTATGGATGGGACAATATCACGAAGTATGTATACTTTGAGAGATTTATATTTATATAGATTTATATATTTGAGAGATTATTCTTGATATAAATATGGAACATCTTTTATGATTTAAAAATAACTTTTTGCAGTTAATATTTACGTTTTTTTTTGGGCTATCTAAAAGAGCAGAGTCATTGGCAAATGCTAGTTCTATTATAATATGTTTTATTTAAAAATGTTTAGCAATATTTATTTTTGTTATCAGCGGTACAGGCAGCAGCGGTCAACCAAGCACAGCTCAACTGCGCATGTTAGTCCAGCAAATCCAAATGGCAGTGTCGGCTGGGTATCTCAACCACCAGATCTTGAACCAGCCCTTGGCGCCACAGACGCTGGTGCTACTTAATCAATTGTTACAACAGGTGAGAGGTTATAACTTATAGTAGTATAGACTTGACTAAGGTAGACGGACTAGGGACCGGTGAGAGTGATGGCGCAGGACCGACGGCTTTACGTGCTCTCCGAGGTACGGGGTTGAAACACCGCCAACTTCCCAACTCCAGGCTGTTACTGATAATTTCGCGGATGATTCTTCTAGTTCCCGTGGCCCCGGCCTTATGGCGATCAAGGTGGACACCGTCAGGTTTTAGTGGGTAGGCTGGCGCGCATTTACCATCTTTGCGCGGCAGGAGCCACACATAACATGGACCCAACTCGAACGCAGGACCTACGGTTCTGCAGCCGTACATGCTAGCCAGTAGACCACAGAGGAAGTAAAAATGACTTTATACATATCCATATGTATGTACATACAATAGGTAGTACGTAAGTACTTAAAAAAATTTGAAATCAAAAAACTAGTTGAAGTCAAAAACGTTGAAAGATTCTTTTTTTCTTACTAAAATTATAGGATATAATGAATTAATTATGTCGTCAACTTGAGAAATAATTTGCTCCCAATTCAAGCTTTTAACCCCTATTTCACCCTCTTCAAGTATGGATGGTGGTAATGTTTTCTAACAGAGGTTTGAAAGTCCTAATCTTGACAAATGCTTGTATTCGCTGTTGTATATATATGTTATGTTTTATGGATTGTTATGAAATTATGTATTAAGATATATGTGCAGTTGAAAGATAAGATGTTTTTACTGTACATATTTTCTGATTTGAGATATACATACATCACATATATAAGCATGTTATATCTATACACAGATAAATAAAATTGAAGTGACTATTTGTAATGTCAAAATAACAACTTTTTACTAAATGCATATGAAAATATGTACAGTACTTATAAAATAACAATTTTTAAATTTTTTGTCTGTCTGTTTGTTTCGGCTAACCTCCGAAACGTCTGAACAGATTGTAACAGACAGCTGATAAGAGTAATTTAGGCTATTTTTGTTTTGGAAAAAGAATCAGGTTTCCGCGCAAAAAAATTTAAACCCATGAAATTGTTACTGTAATCCGCGTACATAGGGACTCACCCCAGCGAAGCGAAGGGGGGTGGCTAGTTATGTTAAATTTCCTATTAAAATATAAAAATAGGCCATTACAAGTGACCAAAATAGATATTTTATTCATTAGTTTGTAAATTTCATATTTGAAAGGTACCTGTATCGAGGCCTTGTATTTTATCGTTAAAATTAATTCAATATAGTTCACCGCCTCACTAACAATGCAGATTTGTTTGTGATTTAGTATTCGCCGCAGTCCGTTATAGGGTCGTTATGCCAATTATCTATTGTATGTAAATGACTTTATGGCCTGTTCTACTGTGAAAGGAAAAACACCTTATGTCCGTTTTACATTTCTAACTTCGATAAAACTTGAAACGAGAGGATTAATGACCTGTGTCGTAACAGTGAACAAATCGGAATAATAATTTACTCAAATTACATGATTAGTAAGCATTTAAAGGTATTTGACTTGATTGCCCTTACTTTGTCATGTGATCAGCATAACAAATTATTGTTGTTGTTAACAATGAAAATAATATTCTGTTAATGTGTTAGTTTCAATTTTTTTTACATAAACAAACGTTTGAACACTTTGAGTTTGTACGCATGAAATTTTAAAGGCAAAAGTAATAAATTGAAAAAGTTTACGACAGAAAGTTGTACTTATTTGATTTTCCAGTTATTTTATAAAATAATGCCTCTTGTTATTTTTTATTCATTGACAAAACGAAAGCTATTTTTTTTATCAAATGATAATTTTCCGTTTTAAGAAATGATATCCACACAAAATGGAGGATCCTTTGTTAAAATCTCATATACCTCTAGAGAATGTATCAACAAATTGAATTGATATATTTTATAACACATGAAATAAAAAAGCAGTCATGAGGACTGCCGACGTAATTGAAAACTTAAAACCATAAACAAACAGTTGTTATTTTTGAATATTCAAATTAATCGTTTCATCTTAAATTAAAATTTGTAAATTAAAACTGTTTACATTTTTCTAGTTTTGACATCTATCGGCACTCTGAGTGCTAGCGTTAACACGTCACGTGACCATGTCGATGACGACTTACATGAATTTCCCCATTCAAACCTTCCTATAGAAGTTTTCACTTCAAAAACATGCTTTTGACCAATTGTATTGTATGGAACCTGTAAGATACATATACTCATGCAATTACAAATATATTTTTTAACAATTATACTACTGTTCAGCAGGTTAAAGTCGATTTTCTACATTTGAGTGAGTTAGTAATAAGTGAATCTAATTAAAGTGTTCTTAAAAGTAGTCTATGTTACACAATTCCATGATATTTCTATATATTGTCGATTTTGTCATGTTTGTTAAAAAATGATACAACAACTTTTGCATTGCTAATATTGGTAAGGTTTTTAATACAATAAGTATTTTTTATTCGTAGATCAAAGTGCTGCAGCAGTTCGTACAACAGCACACTCTGGCCATATCGAAGGGTAACTCGTCCCTCGCATTGCAATATTCTATGCAAATTAGCAAGGCTAAGCAACAAATTGCGTCCCTTCAGGTGAGACTCTTTAGAATTAAAAAATTAAACACATTTTTTTGTTTCTATTTGAGATAACATGTTTTTTTTATTTATTTATATTAATAATACTTATTATTTGTATAGAACCAAATAACTACTCAACAAGCTCTCTACATGAAGCAACAAGCGGGTGGCTCGGACCTGTTCAAACAAAGTCATGATCCACTTGCAGGACTGCCAAACAACTTTAATGAAATGAGCCTCAACAAAGATACGCAGTCTGTAAGTTTTGAATTAAAATGATTAAGAATTATTTTGCTATACTATATTATTATTTATTGTTAATGAGAGGTACCATTTGTGAGATAGATAGCTAAGATAAATACTTAAAAAGTACTCTTATGAACTATCTATCTAGCCCTTATCTATACAGAATGTTAAAAAATGAAATGATCAAATGGTGAACGAAAGACGAGACGACACGTTTGGCTCAGTTTCTAGTGACCCTACTTGCTGTGTCAGTGGTCGCGGGTTCGATTCCCGCTGGGGGCATTCATTTGTGTGATGAGCATGAATGTTTGTACTCCAGTCATGGGTGTTTATATTTATGTTTTTATTTAAAGTTATATATGTGTAGTGTAACAACTATCTGGTATCCATAACACAAGCCTCGTAGTTTACCATGGAACCAGATGGTGCTGTGTGTTAATGTCCCAACATATTATTAATTTGTATGATGAACGAAAGACTACTTTCTCCATTATAGTATTAATATGGACAATAAAGCCATTTTCTGACTTTTTAAGTTTAAAATTATGTATATATCCAGGGTTATAGTGCGACCGGCAATCAAACGTCCCGTCTGACTCAGTGGAAGCTGCCCTCTCTGGACAAGGACGGTGAAGGTACGGACTTCAGTCGCGCTCCCGGCACCGCTAAGTCCACTACTAGCCCTCAACTGAACCAAATTGGCTTACAACCTGACACGTGAGTGTTTTAATGATATTACAATTATCTTGTCTTTCTCTTGCGAGTTAATTAAGATAACGACCAAAAGGGACTAACACGATTTGAATTTTATTGTTCTTTATAGTGTATTTTGTAAATTCTCAGGTGTCTATACAATTTGTTGCAATAGGAACTACTCTATTTACAGTGTAAAAGGTAGCTTCTTAGGTAATATGATAATTTAAAATCACTCACAATTAGAAATCTAAGCAAATATATGGGAATGACTTTTATTATGAATCTGGGACATAATGCTTTTTATCTCTTTTTAAATCTTCTGTTTAAGCGCTTGTAGAATATCGTTTTATTAAAGCCCGCAGGTATGTCTATTCCTCCATAATAGCTTTGAATATAAAGAATATGAAGGTTCATTTCGCGTTATTCGTTTTCTTCACTTACTAAATGTAAAACTCGATCGTATAATATATTCTCACATTCATTGTCAAGTGAAACTGCAATTTGTCAAACGGCATTAGTAATTTAAATCAATGTCGGCACTACATATATAATTTTATCGATATTTCGAACAGTACATGGGGTGTGGGTCGCAACGAGGGGTGGGGCGACAGCGGCGCGGACGTGGCGGACGGCAAGGACGCCTGGCCCTCGCACCCCGCGCACCAGCCGGTGTACGACTTGGTGCCTGAGTTCGAGCCCGGCAAGCCCTGGAAGGTATGTGCTATGTGTTGTTTGTTCTCGGGCTATTGTGAAACCAATATCTACCATATTGATGTAACAAGAAAGAATAGAAAGGTCAATACAACAGTGGTGAAGGGTCCATACAAATTAAAATTATTTTGCTATAATTTTACATAAATTAATTTTTTTAATTGTATAAATATTCTTTTGGAAATATATAATAATAGCTTTATTTGTTTCTGCATTAATAAGCATATAAAAATTGTCTATTTTTGGAATGGCTTACGTCTGCTAAAATTTCACCCTTCCTCACTGCAATACAATCATTTTTCTCAGTAGCAAATATCCAACGTCTTATGTATATTCTCATCTGCCCGACTGTCGTCCTTGACCTTTACCTAGTCATTATGATTGGTTTAAGATGGATGGTTTCTTTAATATCAATATTAGATATTTTCAATGTTTTGATAATTTTTAATGTAACTAATTTATAATAGAGTAACTTTGATGTGTTTTTGAAATTTATGAATGACCACTACCATAAGAAGTTGCAGCTGAATTAATTGAATTATTTCATGTTTTTTTTATTTTGTTGTTCCAATTAAGACTTTTTTTGGAATTATTTAATTAAAATCTATCATATTATTTATAATGATTTCACTAAAATAGGGCAATCAAATGAAGAATGTTGAAGACGACCCAGCTATGACTCCCGGTTCCGTGGTACGATCTCCATTGTCGCTCACTGCTATAAAAGACACTGATATGCTTGGAGGCAAGACTTCACCTCCCGGAGGGGAGCGTAGCCTCTCCTCCTCGACCTGGAGCTACGCCCCTCCACCGGCGACCAGCGCCGGAGGCCTAAAGCCAGTAGATGCATGGGGGGCGAAGCCTCGCCCCACGCCACCAGGACTTAACAAGTGGCCCCAACACCACGTCAACTCTCGTGCCGTGCCTTCTTGGCAAGCATCTACTTGGCTGCTATTGAAGAACCTCACTGCTCAGGTATGATGTTTTTTTTTTAATAATGTATTAAGTGTATTATATAAAAATAGTGTGAAGTATAATAAAGAGGTTGTATATGTATATTGTTTGATTTCCTATTAGAGGGGCGTAGAGTATAGAAGTTTGTGCTGTGTGATTTTTGTATTATTCAGTTTATATTTTACTGCGTCATATGAAAATGGGTAGTTCAAAATCATTGTATTTTCAAATTTTTTTTACTATGATGGTTAAAAAAATAATCTTAAATTTTATTTTAACGAAGTCTAGAGTCACACAATAACTTAGTTGTTAATTTGTAATCTTTGACATGATTACATCTCAAAAAATTAAATAGGCATATTTAGAATTGTGTTTTAGTTCTAAGTTTGCTGGAACGATGTAGGAGTTATTCAAAGCGCACTGTCTAAACCTGACTCAGAGATAGCCAAAACTATTTATCACTTTAAGTTAAAATAAGTTATAATTAGAGGTTTTCATTAGTATTATTAGCAATATAAATGTATAAAGGGACCGAAAGGACTGACATTTAGCTCTGTTGCTAAGAAGTCCCTAAATAGAAATGGAAAATAAAGTCCATAGTACCATGACCTTTATAAAAAAAAGTTAAAACAAAACACGAACTGCATCATACGAGGTTATTTTATATTTGGCATTTATTCCAACCAGATCGACGGGTCCACACTGAAGACGCTGTGCGTGCAGCACGGCCCGCTGCAGAACTTCCACCTCTACCTCAACCAGGGGCTGGCGCTCGCGCGCTACTCCACACGTGAGGAGGCCGCTAAGGTATGTTTTTTTTGTATATATTAATTAATTAATTAGGATTTATATTCTTTTTTTTACAACATAGCTTGTGGAACGTGTTTGAGTTTTTTTTTTTGAAAATTAAAATGGTTACTTTTTTTAATTCCAAATGTACACTGACTTCGAAGCCTTTTTTTATTGGATAGTAAAATAACACTTTTTTTAATTTTTTGTGGTTTATTATTTCTTGAATCAAATAGTAGTAATGTCGGGTTTATTCATATTCTTTTTATGTTTATTTTTTTTAATTTTTCTAGTGCAACTGCTAAGTTAAAACTGCAAATTGATACAACAATAATTATAATAGCATAAGTTACTAATCAATGAAAGTAATAATAATAGTTTCTCAATAACTAATAATAAAAATAATCTAACTTCGTAATTTTAGCTAACATATAAAGATGTGTATTAAATAATATTAAAAGTGTATGTCCCGTATATAGGCTCAAATGGCGTTGAACAACTGTGTGCTGAGCAACACAACGATCTTCGCGGAGTCGCCCGCCGAGTCCGAGGTGCAGATGATCCTGCAGCACCTCGGCTCTGGAGGCGGCGGCGCGTGGCGAGGGGGTGGCGCAAAGGTACGCAACTTATAGATATACTAGCGGACCCGACAGACGTTGTCCTGTCTACACGTCTTTAATTTGAAAATTTCAAACTTTTTTTAATAATTTTTTTGATAAAAATTATTATTCAAATTGTGAATCTAAACCATTCCCAGATCCCCTTGAACACACACAAAAAATTTCATCAAAATCGGTCCAGTCGTTTGAGAGAAGTTCAGTGACATACACACTCACAGAAGAAATCTTTTCGTTTTTTTTTTCGCGGATATGTTTTGATTTTTGGTTCCCGACGTTTCGAATGCTTTACAGCAATCATGGTCACGGTAAAGACAGTCTTTCACATGACCATGACATTGCTGTTATGGATCGGATGTATCCTGGCCTGATCCCCCTCGTACTGAAGGGAGGCCCGTGCCCAGCAATGGGACGTTAAAAAGGGATGAATGCAATATAATAAAAAGGTTGTTTTGCGCGTTTGATTCAGGACGGCTGGGGCGGCGGCTTCCCCGGGCTGTGGCCGGAGCAGCACGAGCAGCGCGCCACGCCGTCGTCGCTGAACTCGTTCCTGCCCCCGGACCTGCTCGGCGGCGAGTCCATCTAAACCACCGCCCGCCGTGTATGGGCGCCCAGTAGTTATTACGCTTCGCCGCTCGCCTCGCGCGGGCGCTCGCTAGTCACGTCTCGCCGGACCACGTCCACGATACTACAGCTGTCTCGTAAGTGTTCACGTAGCTTAGTGTAGCGCGGCGGCTACCTCAGTCACTCGTCCCGTGGCCTTGTTTTAGTATATTTATTTGTTGAGCCCCGGGCTGTTCGTGTTTCGCCCGTGGCGGTTATGCGTTTGTTTCTTTCTCACTTTGTCGCTCGGTTGTTTATTTATTCCGCTCTCCGAACTTGGCTCGCGACGAGCGCTCGTTTTCCAGTAGTGATATTTTTTAACCAGCAATAAAGTTGTGTGCATTTCGCCCGGTCGTCTCGAGTTTTTATTGTTAGTCGGTAATTTTAATGAAACAAAAATTGTAATCGATGAGATTCGAAGTGCATTCTTGTAGAGATAAATTCCTTTAAGCCGTATAGTCTGAGCGGGAAGGCGCATCTTGCCAGGCGGGCTCCGCCGATGCTAAAGTTTCCCCAAATTTTTTCCAGTATTTGTGATTCAAGTGCCACTTTATGTTTAATATATGAAACGATTATCTAGATTATACGATTAATGTAAGGGTAACCTAATATATTAAATTGAAAATTGTTTTATCATTTTATATTACATACATTTGTGAGAAGTGTTATAAAGTACTATAATTGACCGTAATTTAAATATTACACTTTTGTGTATAGGTAAGGATAAAGTTCTAACTTAAATTTAGCCATATCATATCTATTTAATAAAAGATTTGTGGTATTTTCTATAGGCTCAATTTGAACGTTATTCAAAGTGACATATGCTTTAGATATTCTGTTAATAATATACTTGTAGTGGTAGGTCTCTCGGTATTACATCATTATAGGTTAAGTACACGTAAGTCCTACGGTAGATACTATAGTCGTATAAGCATACTATTGATATTTTACAGCAACGATCGCACTTGTAAATGTTCGTTATGATGAAAGTTTATTTACATTTTTTATTTACTATTTAATTTATTGATGGTGTGCCACAGAGTTACTCTGCCAAAATATATCATTACCATATATAACGGATTAGCTAAGTAGAGGGGCGAGGCGTGCGGTTCGAGTCTCGGCGGGGGTAGGCCGCGGGGGCGCCTCGCTCCGCGACGAGACCGTCGAAGACGGACCCACCACGCTTTGCGATCCGAACGATCGGTCACAGAAAGCGATTGACTATAATAAATGTACATTATATGTATTTTGAGCATCTTCCAGTGATCTTTTAATTAACATTACGATTGTAGTGCTAAGTTTAGGTGTTAAGTATCGCTGTACCTTATCGAGCCTCGCGCTCGAGGACTCTTCACAAATTAATCAGATAAGTTAGTGGTTGCGATGTCGTTTGTGCGTTTGGACTCTTCGACCGCTTCGAACCCCTTAGATCTAGTAAATGTTTCGATGTATGATGTGTTCAATTTAGAAACAATATTAGCATTTCTCATTACTGTGTATCACATATAGGGACCGACGGCGGTTATTAAACAAAAATCTATCAGTTGCATATTTCTTATTGCCTTTTCTCAAGCTTGTAACGCAACGATCGCTGACTAGTTTTAGTAAGACCAGTTATATATATGTCAAAAAATATTTTTACTACAAAATTTTGGATAATAGTATTAATTAAAAAGGCACGGTTTATGCAACAGTAGGAAAGAACAGTTTAGCACACGCGGAGGCCTTACGAACCTTGTCGACGCGACGTATATTGTTAGGTGCCAAAGAATGAGTATCAAAGATATGAAATGATGTCGAAAAATATCGATCGCATCTCTGCTTAGACATACATATCTTCCAAATTATTTGAAATTAGTTTTCGGTACGGGTTTTTGATCTGATGTTCCTATGCCATTCGTGTAACGTCTACGCAACAATAGCGCACGCATAAGTCAATTCTATTGTTGTCGAGCTCAATTTAAGTGAGGGTGTTTCGTTTTATCGATTCGATAGGGTAAATTAAATTACTTTATGTCTGTCTACACGTCTGTCCACGTCTACACCGATCTTATATGCCTCAGTAGCAGAAGTCTGGGTCGTAACGTGAATTTATTACAGCAATAAAGTTCGAGAGTTAATTTTTATAAAAATTTTCAATTTTTAAAAGTTTTAGAAATGCCGAGTAACCGAAAGTATAATCCAGTGCCCTGTAGAATACGTTGTCCATAGATTAAAGACGAATGAAGTCATGCCTTGAAGTTTTTTAGTCAGTTAAATGTAAACAGTACTTAAGTAATGAGTAATATGTTATTATTAAAGAAACATAATATAGGCGTTGTGGTGTAGCGGTGTTGTAGCTGTGGCGCCGGCTAGGTTGTGAAGGTGCGGTTGCGCCGCAAACTGAATCTCCTCTCGGTTCAAGGACTGCATATTTCCTGCACACGATTGCGCCACGTGCAATTTAGTCTGTGTTATTATTATGTTGTTGTATATTTATACCTTACATCTTATACTGTAATATGTATATATTGTGAAATTATATTCTTAAAAGATTTTAATACGCTTCACGCTTTCACTTCTAACAATATTTTTCGTGACTCGTTTCTGTTATCTAGAATAAATTTACGTACCTAAAAGTAATTATAATAATTATTATTATCATAGATGTAAATTGTAAGAAAATAATAAAAAAAAAATTAAAAAAAATAAAATAAAAAAACGAAAAAAAAGGAAAAGCAATTAATAAAAAACCAATGATTGTGCCTCAATAAACTGTGGTACGTTACCGTAACCGATGGCAGGTTTAATAGTTTCCTTCAGAAGTTATAACTAATAATGAATTGTGCGGTAGGCACCGGCCGTGACAGTCAGTGGGCTGGCCGTAGACAATACAATATGGCCGCGGCCCGCGCCCGCGCCGTCGCCTCGTGTAATCTTTGATGAGCTTAGCTATGTTTTACTTTTATTATAAGTGTTATGACATCAATCGACATTTTATATATTATACTTACGTGTAAATATTTTTATCTATTTATTTCGTTTTCATGAAGTTTACCCGAATTAATGTGTAACTCGACCGTTTATTTGTTTCGAGTCAGATCCGTCGATGCATCGAGCCGATTCCATAACACTTGTATGCCAAAGTCGATGTCCTATTGCCATTAACGAACACGACACACTATATTGTTAGATAATCCGTGGATCTCTGACATCACAACAAACTATTGATCGTACAAATGGGAGCCATTTTACGGCCGCCGCCGTTTATAGGTCGGCGTTCTGTCCAAGCTGCTCTGGTGTTATTTTAGCTCAAGTATTCAAATAGTAGTTTGCTCATAATATTGTTGTTATTTTTTTTATTTATATCTTTATTATATATAACTCTTCGTTGGCGTGCGAGTGAAATTTTTAAAATTATGTTCGCCATCTTCATTTGTTAGCTTTTAATGATCTTTTTTTTTAAACTAAATGGACCATTGTGTTGGGTATTGCATCGTGTTCGCGTTAATGTATACCGCCTAAAACGCATCTCATAGTAATATTTATCCGTTTATTGTTATGATTATTGATTCTCGCCGCCGTCTGTTCTTTCTGAAAGTTCAAATTCCACTGAGACTTAGTCTAATTAAAATTAAAATTGGTTATTTGAAGATGGACGCGGCGAGTGATCAACATCGGCTTTAATCACGCATTTCATGCGATCTCAAACAGATAGCTAGAATATTATTTATTTGAACAGAGTACTCGTATAGGGACCAAATATATACGAAAATGGCATGTTTTATTTCTCTATCTAACGTCCATTGCGCTCAACGGCGATGCATACTAAAAAGACATTTCATATTTCCATTTAACGCTCGTGTCGTATTAGTTCTAGCGTTCATCATAGTGATAGTGTACAATTCAGAAGGGCCTTTTAATTTGATAAGATTTAAAAGTTGCTTGTTATCTTCGTTTATATATATTTTTGTATGTTGACGTCCTAATATTAGAGGTGGACGATTAGGAACGGTCCGTTATTCACTTGCCAATTTTACGTGATTTTTTAAAAGAAATTGTTTATTATACGGTTTTATATTCTATTCTAATACGAATTTATTTTTAATATTGACGACCATTGATAATGAAATAATTTTGATATATTTTAAAAGAAACACTCGAGGTCGTTGGTAATCGTCCACCTGTATACATACAATAGAAGCGTTAGGTGATATTTACAAAGAAACTAGTCTTCCTTGATAACGTGGCGGATCGGCGTCGGCACAAGAGGCAATCATTCCTCTAGTCTTGTATCGTGGTGCGATTAAGAGAATACCAAATATAAACTAACGAAGGCTTTCACGTAGTGTTACGGTAGGCGGTAGGCGGTAGGCGGTAGAGGTAGGGTTAGATCGGCCCGAGCAGCTTGGAAACTGTCTATTACAAGGGTATGTATGGTTTGGGTAGTATTATTATATTGCATTTATTTCTCTTTTGTCATAGTCACTCAAGAATATATTTAATTAATTGAGCTAATGCCTAAAATTTGGAATATCAGAGTTTATTTAGGATGTTTAATATTTTACATTTTAGTGTTTAAATATCTAAAATTTACCTTAATTATAGTGAATGGATTTTTGTATTATCGGTATATATAGCTGTAAGACAAAGGTGTTCTCGATTAACACAAACAACTGATTAATACAAAATAATGTACTGAGTGACTTTACGCGTAAACAGAGGGCCATTGATTAAAATGTTGAAGTAAGCTAAATTCTCTATTTGGTAATTTAAATAAATGTGATCGCTGAGAATATTTTTAACTGCTATATGTAATGTTATTGTAGATCAGTAAGTGGACACCAATCAGTATCTGTAGTCACTGTTCAGTACTCGTCAGGCCAGTGCGCCAGGCATATCTCCCCTACGTCGTAGCGATGCTTGGACAGGGATGGGATTCATGAGTCCTTCCTTCAAAAGTAACGGTATCTCATAGAGTACCCCCCATTCGATGGTGAT